TTCCCTACCCTTTTATCTCACTTCATCTGTAACACACCTATATTTTTATTTGTTGATGAAAAAATCTGAGATGCAACCTTTTGAGATCAGGGGTTTTAAGTTTAGAAAATAATGCATGTTCCTCTGGGATGGTCACACACACATCGGCATATTATACATTCTGAGAAGTCTTGAAGTAAAGAAATCAATTTAACTCTGTTTAGCCCAATGGTCATAAAACCCACATTTTTCAGAATACAACTTAGTACTGGCATACAGCTTACAAAACTTGTCCGAATCACACAATTCACTATACAGGGTTCAAATTTGGTCTTTTTAAATTTCAAAGCCTATTTCAGGCCTACCCTGTACTACCCCACCCACCTTGGCAAGTATAATATCCTCCCTGGGTCTCTGTCTCCTTGTCTATAGAAGGATGTCCTACCAGGCTAGACATTTTATGCATCTTGGACTCCAAAAAATCCTCAGTTCTGGGCCAGCCATGTACGCCCAGGTGTGTGTAACAAAATGAGGGGTGGCAGCCAGTACTGTCTCTAACACAGTCGATCAGGAAGAGGGGGAGGTTTTCCATTCCCTTGGACGATGCATGCAATTATGCAAAAAGAAACACAACTGGCTTGCTCTCTACTTTCTTCTCAAATGTTTCTAAATTCTATGGCTGGGACTAAGTCTTAATGCTAGCCCCTGTGAGGTCACTCTCCTGCGAAAATAATGAGACAAGCCACTTTGTACAAATTTTAAGTATATCGACTGACCGCTCGCCATCAGAACACAGGAACTGGAAAGGAGCTGTGAGGCAGGCATTTGCCCCTCAGAATAAAGAGGGGATCATGCAGAGTAGGCAAGCAGAAACACTCGACCCAGTCCCAGCACCACTGCCTCCGGAACTTACAGCAGGATGGGCTGGTCCGAGGTGATGACGTTCCCGTTCATGTGAAGGTTGCACTTCATTGGTTGCCCTGAAAAACCAAAAAAGAAAAGGCTCCGCCATGAGACTACAGCTCCTCACACAAGGAGACATGGGCTGACATCTCCGTCAGCTCTGACTCCACACTGGGGGTAGGGCTGCCAGACTTCGTTAAAACCTAGGGACTAAGAACTCCCAGTGTGTAGGGTCCATGAAACCTTAGCAATGACAGTGCCAAGAAGCAAAGTGGCAGCAGACTTTACTCTGTACAGCAGGAGATAAGTGTGGGAGGGAGAAACTGGACTCAGTGTGAAGCCGTCCAATCTTATTTGTAAAGCAATTAGTAAAGGAAAATGTTTGTGCTATGAAATTAAATGAAAAGATTAAAAAGTACATGTACAGACTTCCACTCTGTCCATGAAAGATTAACTGCTACTGAGTACTGCACTCCCACTGTATATAAAATGTGATAAGGGGAATAATAACAGAAAAATAAGACTAAAAAAATTTTAATGTTTTTTAATTAAAAAAAGAACAGTTCAAAAGAGGGAGTAGAGCCATATAGAAGTAACCTTTCTCTCTCACTGGAATTAAGTTAATATCAATCTGAGATAGATTCTGACATATTCTATCTATATGAGACACACTTCAGATTCAAAAATATAAAAAGGCTGAAAGAAAAAGGAGATATATCTTAGCAACCCTAAGATGTGGCTATAGTAATATAAGACCAAACAGACTTTAAAATTAAACATGAGATAAAAAGGAACATTTAATAAACTGATAAGAGTCGATCTATTAGGAAAGAAACAAGTAGAACAATTATAAACATGCAACTAACAACTAACAACAGAGCCTCAAATATCTGAAGAAAAACTAAAAGAGGTGTCAGAAAAAAATAAATACCACATGATTTCCCTGATATGCGGAATCTAAGGAACAAAGAGAACAAATAGAAAACTGACCCACAAATACAGAGAACAATCTGGTAATGGCCAGAGGGGAGTGAGATGGGGGGACTGGGAGAGAGTGGTGAAGGTTTAAAGAAGTACAAATTAGAAGCTGATAAAGGGTCACGAGGATGGGGAGCATGGCACAGGGAATGTGGACAGCAGTTAGGTAATGGCTACGTGTAGAGCCAGAGGGAAGATAGAGAGTAATAAGGGGGATAGTTTTATAAACCATATAAATGTCTAACCAGTGTACCGTATACTTGAAACTAATAAAAACAATTTTAAGAAAATAACAGAAGTGAAAAGAGAACATACGTACAATAGTTGAAAATTTCAATACTTCATCTTTAGTAATAAATAGAATCACCAGGCAGAAAATTAACAAAGACACAAAAGACTTGAAAAACATTATAAACCAACTAGACCCAGGAAACACCTACCCAACAGCAGCAAAATACATATTCTCCTTAATCACTCAGGAGGAAACTGGGAAATTCACAAATACATGGAAATGAAACAAAATAATCCTAAATAACCAACGGGTCAAAGAAAAAAAAAACACATAAGAAATTAGAAAATACTTTGAGATAAATGCAAATAAAGACACAACATATCAAAATTTATGAGATACAGCTTAGTGCTCTAAATGCATATATTAAAAAGGAGTGAAAAGACAAACTACAGAATGGGAGAAAATATTGGCAAACCATTTATCTAACACACTTAATATATAAAGAACTCTTACAACTCAATAAGAAAAGACAACTCAAAAAGTGAGCAAAGACTCTGAATAGATAATTCTCCAAGAAGATACACGAATGGCCAATAAGCACATGAGAAGATGCTTGACATCATTAACCATCAGGGATACACAAATAAAAAGCCCACTGATTGTGTTTTATTAGTTTCCACATCTGTTTCTAGCACGGGGCCTTGGTTCATAGGAGGTTCTCCACAAACACTGAAAGAACAAATGAGTGGATAGAAGGAGCATGGCAGAGCTCCTCTCTACAGGCTATCCTGAGATGAATCACATAAATCTAAATTCAGTGCAATCAGCTGTTTACTCTCTAGAAGCAGAGCTCACCTAGGTGCCAACATTTAGACGAGGCTCCAGGCCTTTAAGGAACCTGTGTCCTAGCACTGAGCAGACCAACATCTGAAAGGTGGAGGCTACGGCTGTTGGCGTCCCTGCCAAAACTCCTTAAGAGAACCATTCATGGAGAAGAGGTGTTTCCCTGCCATCTAGCTTAGTGCTAGGGCTGGGTGAAAACCTAGGGCCTTGTGGAACAGGCAGCTGGCAGCTCTGCACTACCCAGAGACTGCACCTGCCTGGTCTTGATACCTATAAGGTCCCAGCCAGCTCAGAACAAGGCTTGTTCCGAAGGCCTGCTGCCTGACAGGAAGCAGTGAGGAGTGGGAGGGTGAAGTGGCTGCTTCCCGACTTACCGTCCAGACACCGGTTGTTATATTTCTTATACGCAGTGATGGCGTCGTCCTTCTTTACAAAGACCACCTCTGCTACCCCAGGATGGACCAGCCGAGCTCGCTTCAGGGCCCCACATACACAGAAAAGCTCCTGCCAAGCACAAGAGGGGTCAGCCCTGGGGGAGAATGTCGGGCTATTATCCTGCTTGCCTGCCATGTGCACACTGTGGAGGGCTCTGGGTAGATGGGTGGCTGCACTCTGGCTGAACACGCCAGTGCTCGATTTCAGGAAGGGTCCATTCTAGGTGGTGTTCTGGGAACATCCACAAGCCTCAGCATGGGACCAGAGAAGGGGACAAGGTGTGCTGGCAGTGAGAAATGGCCTGGGTTTATAAGCCTTGGAGTCTCTGTGACCTTCAACAAGTCACCCACTTCATCAACAGGGATAATAGTTATGGAATTTCTCAGAGAACTCTGTCATGAGAATGAGTGTGTAGACTTATCAAAGAAAGGTAGTGGCTAATAAGTCAGGTAGGAATCTGTTAAAAATAAATTCTGGAGTTCTATGTAGAGGGACCAACTGTCCCAGCTGGCCGACGTGAGGGGATTCCCAGGACAGGGGACTTTCAGGGATAACGAGGAAAGTCCCCAGCAAAACTGGGATAGATGGTCACCCTAAGTCAGACAGACCTGGGTTTGACCTCTGGGGCTCTGTCTCTTCTCAGCTGTATGACCTCTAGCTCTAGCAAGTTGTTAACTTCTCTGAGGGTGAGTTTTCTTTTCTGAAAAGAACTGGTCTAGCCTACCTCCCAGGGTTGCTGTAAAGCTCAACTGAGATCATTTTCAAGGTGGTGCTTTGTAAACACGTTATCATCATTTACTCCAATCCCTCCTCAGTTTATAGACTGGGAGACTGAGGCCACAGAGGGAATATAATGTGGAGACGGACCACAGACGCTGACTAGCACCCAAGCCATTTCTTCACCTGCAGCTGCCCTTCACAAGGCTGTTTTAAGGACAAAGAAACTAATAAAAAGGTTGTTGATGTGATTAGTTTTTAAAGATAAAGAGGAATATGTCAAATGTCAGAACCAAGATATGGGACTGAATACTAGGTGTGATCCCAATCTGATTGCTGTTATTCTTTCAGTATTACCTACTTGGGTACAAAAGAAGTGAGGGTGACTATTACTGGCAGTATTCTCTGAGTGGTGATCATCAGAGGTGATTAGTTTTTCTGCTATTTCGTATTTTCAAAGATCCTGCATACAAAGTGCCTGGCATGTAATAAGTGCTCAACAAATGGTAGCTATTATTACTTTTATAATCAGAAGAAAATTGTTCTAATTCTTTATAACTTGTCAAGTATTATTACACAAAGCAGGCTATAATTTTCATTCTGTGTGTACCATTCACTGGAGTGCCTGCTTAGTTCTAAGAGCGATCACACAGCACTTGAGTGTTCTACAAAACTGTCACCAAACACGGTGGCCAGTGGGGGCTGTTCCAGAACCTGGGGCTCAGCTGCAGGGAGGAGCTGAAGTCTCCAGCTGCATTCATTCTGTGATCTGATAGTTCAGAGTTACGGGATGCATGGATTTCTTAATTAACAGCTTTTCTTGGTGTCTCAATAAAATGAGGTGGAAAAGAAGTCCTGGCTGCATCTGGGCCCCCACTCACCAGGCACCAGGATGGCCCAAGAGCTGAATCCAGAGGAGCCAACCACCCAACACACTAGTCCACCTCGCTCCTTTTGCTCTGGAATCCTCACATGAAAACCCTAAAGGAGGCAGAAGTTCTGAAGACTCACAGGAGAATATGAAACACTGGACATTGCAGCCCAGGACTACAGGATCCCAGTCAGGACCCATAACAGCACAAGTCCAGGCCTTGGTTTAGCAGCTGTGCGGAAAAGAGCTAACATAGCCAGCCTGACTGCTATCCTTTGAAAGGCCTGCTTCCAAGGTTGGCTTCTGGGAACCTGGATTCTGGGAGGGATTCCCAACTCGCTGCGAGAATAAAGTGCATCCTGTCTGATTCCACTGGGAGACGGCTCTGGAAGTTTGTGCCTGGTTTCTGCTGGCCTTTGCCCATGAGCTTTTCCCCTTTACTGATTTGACTTTGTATGCTATAATGAAGCTTAGCCCCAACACGACTATGCTGAGTCCTGTGAGACTCAGGGACCCCTGACACAGAAGTGGTTTGAGACTGAACACCCTGGCAATGCAAATACTCACAACAATGTCCTCTTCGGTGACTCGAGGGTGCAGATTATTCACAGTCATCTTGGTACCTTCCAAAGGACTGAGGACAGGCTGCCACACACAAGAGCATTACCAGAAGGCAGAAAAGAGTTATGTGCTCAACCGCAGAACTCACTCTAGACAAGGGACCGGGAGGGCCCCGAAAAAACCCCATGGAGGGTCCAGGCCTCAGTGCCCATCATGCTTCCCCACCCTATACTAAGGGATGGAGCCTCTTCTTCCCCAAATACGCTGGGCCCTTCCAGGCCTCTGAGCCTCTGCCTGGAATGCCACTCCTGTTTCAAGACCACCCAGCTCAGATGGCACTCTATCCTTAAAGCCTTCCCAGATTTGCCCAGTGGAACTAGCTGCTATATCGCCAGACGCAGTGCTCTGTCTGCAGCTCTGTTTGCTCGACTTGCCTGCGAGCTCTTTGCACTTGGGGGCCACCGGGTCTTGGTTTGTTCCTTTGTAAAATGGGGGTGGCACTGCCTAGCACGCAGAGGTGCTAAGAGGATGTAACAGCGTACGTACAGCACCCTGCCCACCCAGCGCAGGCTGACTCTCAACTGGTATGATCACTCTCTCTCCTTCACCTTCACCTTACCTCAGCGGGCGGCAGCTCTTTGGGGGAATCCTCCTTGTTCACTAGTGTCCGCGACATGCTAGTCAAGGCTTTCGTTCGAACAGAGGAGGGGAGAGCAGGAGCTGCGTAGGCATCATTCTGAACCACTTTGGTGAGAGGGAGGGCCTTGGCCATGGAAAGCTTGGAACCGCTCAGTCCAGCCTAAACAAAGAGGCAGATAAGATAGGAGTCTGAGATGCTAGTGACCTGGATGCCCCACTAGGGGCTGACAACCCCCACTCCTGAGGCCTGCTAGCTCCGATTCCATTAGTGGTCTGAAGCCAAAAAGGCTGCCAGTGATATCCCACAGGGAAGGGGGTGGGAGGGGAGCAAAACACGCAGCCCGCACACGTGTTGACAGAAGCCACTTTCCAGTGTTGGAAGCCCTTGGCAAGAAGCTTCCACGTACCCCTGACCAGGATCCACATGCTCCCCCGTACCATTTAGACTTTATAAAAACCCAACAATCTGGGGCTGGTCAGAAGGCAAAAAGCTTGGGGTCAAGTGCATTCCAAGGTATGTTTCTATTGCAATAGACTAATCATGAACTCCAAGCTGGCTGGGCATAAGAACCCACTCTTAGGAAGGCCCAGACTCCCAGCTTTTTGGTCCCTCTTCTGGCCATACAGAGACACCACACATAGGCCTGGCCCTATCAGCCTGCTGGCAGAGTCTGCACACGGAGATCCGCAGACACAGTTCCCTCCCTCCCTGACACCCCTAACTGGGGACGTGGTCCCTTGGAAATATAAAGCAGTGAAGTCCCTGGTATTAATGTGTCTGAGGGAAAAAATGGATGAGGCAGAAGCGGCAGGTGGTCTTGCTGATTTAGGGCAGTGTCCACCAGTCACTGACTCAGAGGAGAGGGACGGGAAATACAGCAGTCAGAAAGAGGATGGGACAGGGCCGATTCACTAGCTTCTCCAAGTTTAGATGCAAAGTCCTCCCCATGCTGGATTCCACATTCTTCAAGCCACTTTGAGTCTTGAGAGCCAGTACAGCATAGTGATTAAACATAAGGCCTGCGAGTAAAACTGTTTACTCCTGAATCTCAGATCTACCACTTTCGAGTGGGTGGACAGTGAGCAGGTACTGTTTAACCTCTCTGTCCCTGATTCTTCATCAGTAAAATAGGGATAATAATGGCAGGAAGGAAGAATCTTAAATGAGTTAATATAAATACAAGATTTCAGCGTTCTCAACTAGGATTGGCCACTGAGCCAGCAGACAGCCCCTCTGCAGCAGACCAGAGCACTCTAATTATTGGAAAGACCCAGCCCCTTTATAACGAACTGGCATCCTTCAGTTTCACATATAATTTTAAGAGCTTCTCTGGTAACCAGGAGATTGGTCCACACTTTCAGTGCAGTGACTAGAACTGAGTCTGTGGGCCTCTCAAAACAGGCACTTGGCTTGAGTCCCCACTGGCTTTCTAATCTGTAATTTGGCTACATCCACTGAGCTGCGCTATGCAGACCTCCTTGATGTTCCCAGATGGTGCTTTCTTTCTTTCTCTGCAGGGTATCTGACTAGCATTCTAGTCTACCAAGTTTTCTTGAATTCAAGTTTCCTGGCTGTACCTCATGGAGCCCACAGGGTAAGGTTCAGATTATTGTGTTAACGCACCAAACAAGGGAATCCAGACTTAAGACTGGGCCAGAGCTGCTGACCATGGAGGAAGGGGGAATGTAGGATATAGAATGTAGGATATAGAATGTCCTGCCACAAAGGAAAGAAAATAGGATTCTGTCCTGTGGTGTCACCCACATTTCCCCTGAACTGTCTCAAACACAGCAAATGCGAGCTGCAGCTCTGTACTTCATGATCTGTGAGACCTTGAACTAGTCACTAGACACCTTGGTTTCAAGCATTTATAAAATGAGGGGTTGAACTAGTTCCAGTTCTAAAAATCTTATGACCAAATGAAGAAATATTTCTGAACTGAAAGGCCCTCTCCCATCCACCTGATCAGACACACATAGCAAGTATAGGAAAAACATAAAATGCCCACCACGTGGTGAAGAAAGCTGCCTGAGGCTGTGAATTTCATCTGTTTACTAGGAATGGGAGCTGCAACATCATCATCTTCATCCAGGTCGTATAAATTCTGAAAATAAAGAAATATAAGCTAACATGGCATACAGGCTCTCGACAGACATCTGGAGCAAGAACAGCAGGGACACAACTGCTGGAGTTAAGCGAGGTGGAGGGAGAAGCGGGGGTGTATGTGGAGGTGCCGAGGGACACTGGCCTCCAAGGCTGGAGCTCAAGGCCTGACAGGCTGGCTTCCTACTCCCCAGGGCCCGATGAAAGTGCTGCGACTTTCAGATACATCCGAAGTACCTTCTGCAAATGGGCAATGCCTAGGAAGAGTCCTTCAAATATCTCGGAAAACCCATCCCAGGCAATCTAGCATACAGAAATAAACCCGAACCCCAGAAAGAGCTTTATCCACAAAGAAGTTCAGAGAAGAATTTCTAACAGTGAGAAGTACAGTAAAATGGTTTAAAGGAACTGGAACGTACACTCAATGGTTTATGTAGTTATTAAAAATGCTGAGTTATAAAGTGAAAAAAGAATGATACAAAACTGGATTAGGACTATAACCACAACTATGTGTTTAATAAATAATAATGACATTTAAAAAAACAGGAAGGAAACAGGAGAATGTCAACAATGGTTGGCTTTGGAGAACAGGAGCATGAGGAACTTTATTTTCCTTCCAATATTTCTCTGTTTTGCAAACTTTCTATATTATGCACATATTAATTTTATAATAAAAATTATAAAGATTTTCAATTTCTCTCTGCCCCTTACGCCTTCCCTTCCCAGTTAAAAAATTTCTTCTGAAAACTCATAAAATACAAAAAATCAAATGTAATCCCGCCCTAGTTCTTCAAATTGGGAACCTTGGGCTAGGCTTCTACCACTAGGCCCCATCAAAACATATACATATGTACACAGACACATCGGTACATACACACACACATATAGAACACACACACTCACACTCTACCTGTTTGGCCTGATGGTTATTGACGACGTTGATCCTCATTCCAGCAGGATGGGCATTAGGTGGTGTCATGGTCTTTTGCTGTGGAACCTAGAAATACCCACTGGTCATATTTCGCCCCACAGGGCCTACATGTGTTCTCTATGATCGCTGAACTTAAAATGTGTAGGCATTCAGTTGTGGTCTTTGGAAAAAGGCCTTACAGAGTGCCTTATACCCAAAGCAGGAGACTGACAGGAAGACTCATCATCCCAGAGACCATGTGACAATGCATGCGTAAGGCTCAATGAACTTGGCTCAGAAAGTTCACTGCTGCTGCTGTTCCTATTACCAAAGTGTCTGTGATGACTGAATGATACTGTTTCCACCCTTTTCTGGAGTGGTGGCTGCACCAGGAGCCAGGTCTGACCGGGCCCCTACCCTGGTCCTCCCAATGACTGGCTATGTAACTCCGGGCATAATAATCCACATCTCTGAGACCGAGGTTCTTCTGTGATAAGACTGTGGGAATAACTCAGGGCTGCAGTGAGGAATAAATAGGGTTGTTTATGTTAAGTACCTGCCACAAAGCACATGCTCAACAAATGTTTTGTCCTTTCCTCTCCCTTCCCTCCACCACTATCTCACTTAGGAAAATCACTGGACTTTCTCTGGACACCCCCACCTACTTCTTTTATATAAAACTAGACACCACCTTGCTTTCCTTATGGTTACTATACAATCACCTGGGGAAATAGTCATTTTGCCCAAACACTTCTGATCCCTGCTCCCTTCCAGAATTTACAACTGTTACTGGATTCTTGGAATTTATGACAAGAGCCACACCTACCTGGATAGTTTTAGTGAGCTTCAAAGCTGGGGTCACCGTCCCGATGGGAGGGCTCATGAAGGCAGCAGGGGAATTCCGCTTCAAGCTGAGCTTCTCCCGAGCATCGGTCACCTGGCGGGGTTTCTGGGGCACTGTGCTCTGCTGCTTGCGGGAGTTCAGCATCTCTCTGGCATCCTGCACTTTCCCTTTGATCCGGAAACGAGCATCTTTCTGCAACAGCTTTTCTCGGGCATCCTTTACTCCCAGCTTGAGCCGGGCATCTGAGAGGCCTATCTTCTGCCGGGCGTCAAATCTCTGCTGGAAGGTAGCTGTGCGTGCTGGCTGGCTGAGGAGGCTCTGCTGGATCCCAACACGTGATCGGACACCTCCAGCTCCTGGTCTGACATTGAGCCTGCAAATAAAAATTGCAACATTTAGTGGATCTGGATATCAACAGCAGCCCGTGGAAGCAGAGCCCGTGGGAACAGAGGTGGCTGGAGAAATCAGAAAGCTGCTCCCCATCTGAGGAAACAATTAAGCCTAAATAGAGGCTTCTTTCCTAGTTTGGCACTGAAATAAAATTAGGAAGGCAGGCCCACTGGTTTCTATCACTATGTAAAAGTGTTTTGCTCCCCAGACCAAGTGTTTTGAGACACCATTAGGGACAATAACCTCTAAACGATGCCAGTCAAATAAAATAAGCATATCCCCCCAAAATAACTCCACACATCTGAAAAGCAACTTCGGTTTCTAAAGTTCTTGCACATCCATGCTCTCAGTCAGCCCTCAGAGCACCCTGTGAAGTGGGCATTATAATGCCTATTTCACAGTGGGACAACAGGCTTGGAGTGTTAACTGATTAACAAAGGGTTTCCAGGTGGCCTCTGGCAGCCTCATGCCTCCAATGCCAGCAGATCCCCCTTCCTGGGCTGGGATCAGGAAAGCCAACACATGGGTCTGATTGGGATTAGAGCAGCAGTCTCCAACCTTTTTGGCACCAGGGACCAGAGAGAATCTAATAATTCTATGAGAATCTAATGCCTGATGATCTGAGGCGGTGATGCTAGTGCTGGGGACCAGCTGCAAATACAGATGAAGGTTTGTTCGCCTGCTGCTCACCTGCTGTGTGGCCATTTCCCAACAGGCCATGAACTGGTCGTGGTCCACAGCCCGGGGGTTGGGATCCCTGAGCTCGAGGACTAACAGACTGAAGATATAAGGACTTTGTAGAAAAGAGAAATAACCACTGTCTCAACTATTCCTATTCACAACACTTCTGACACCAAATGCGTGGTTTTTTTCCCTCACATAAACCAATTTTCCAGCTCTCTTAGACACCAACTGAATGCCCTAACCACCTGGAGTTAGTGCAGACACCACAGGGTAAGGGCTCATTTCCACAAAACTGCCCTCACTTCACATGCCATTCCCAAGTCCTGGGCTTCCCATTTCTAATCAACGAGATATAAGTCCAGGGGACCCACATCCCCTCCTCAACAATTCGCTAGAACAGCTCACAGAACAGGAAAACTTATTATCGGTTTCTGATAAAGGACATGACTCAGGACTAGCCAAACAGGAGATGCACAAGGCGAGGTTTGGGGGAAAGGGTGAGGACTCTCCACGCCCGTGCTGGGCGCATCCCCACCTTCCCACATGTGGATGTGTTCACCAACCCAGACTGTGTCAGGATCTTTGTGGAGGTTTCATTACGTAAGCATGATTGACTAATCATTGGCCAGCGATGATTAACTCAATCTCTAGCCACCCCCCGACCCCAACCCTTGGAGGTCCCAGGTAAGAACATGGGTGCAGCTGCAAGTTCCAACTGGCTAATCATGCTTAGGCCTTTCTGGTGACCAGCCCCGATCCTGAAGCTATCTATCTAGGAGCTCACCAAGAGCCACCCCATTAGAACAGAAGACGTTCCTATCACCCCTATCACTCAGGAAAGGCCAAGGGTTTTAGGAACTGTGTGCCAGGAGTGCATCCAAAGGTGGATCGGCCTGGTCCCAGTAAAAGAAAATCTTCATCTCATTATCACTGGACTAAAAACACCTGCAGCTTCCAGTAGGCCAGAGCCTTACCTAAGTCAGCGATGGACAGTACCATTTTTCTGTGAAAAATGGCAAATTACTGTAGGATTTAAATACTTTCTAGTGGGTTTATATAACTGGGTGAAAGAGAGTGCAAGAGTCATTTACCGAATCCATCCGATTAGGTTTGGTGGCGGGTGGGGGTGGGTGGTGGTGCTGTGGCTTCTCTGTTCCTTTATAGTCCCTCCTATAAAGACTGGGAGATGAAGTGTTAGAGAAAGCATGGCTAAAAGGAATGGAGTGTGCAGAGGGCCAGTTAGACAGCTGGGGAGAGGGAAGCAGCTGTGTGGCAGACAGTAGCCATCCTTCCCTGGGCTGGACTACCCTAGGCTTTGTGGCCTGCAAAGCCACAGGCAATAGTGAGGCTATGCTTTGTGGTGACCACAGAGGGGCCCCTGGTATTTATGCAGGGAACAGCAGAACTTCATAACAAAGCCTTACCCCTACAATCAACTGGCAGATGAAGGGGGCCAAAGTTTTGCCACCCTGAAGCTGCCTTTTGGGATATTGATTTTAAGCTGCTGATTAAGAGGCAAAAAATGTAGAAAGACTGCCTAAGAGATTCAGATAGAAAAACCTACTTCAGGAAGGGGAATGTCACAGTCACCTTAGCCTTAGACAAGACTCCAAGCGAGAGCCTGTTTAGATTCCCCGCACTGTGTGTCTCGTTATTTCTGGGTTGCCTAGCAAAAATTTACCTGCCATGTATGTTCTGCTCTTCCTCAATTACCTGCAAATCTCCTGTTTTCAATTTTGAAATCTCAGACCCTCTCCCCCACTTTCTCCTTTGTCCAAAATGACATACGTACATACATACATACATACAATTTTACCTGTCTGGAATTTTCATGTATATGGGAATTCCCCATGCGCAAGTATTACAATTTGATTCATTAATCTGTCTTTGTTAACCTGATTATTAACCCAACTAGAAGAATTCTGAAGGTGGGAAGAAAACTATTATGTATTTTTTTTAGCCCCCACTGCCTTTTTTTTTTAAAGCCCATCAAAGTGCGGACCAAAAAGGGGCTACATAGCAATCTTGACAAGCTCAGGGGAAGCCTGCACGGTGGGCCTTACAAACTCAGAGACCGCACGGTGGGCCTTACAAACACAGAATGGTCTGAACATAAAAACTCCTAACTAAAAGCAAGTCGTGGCAAGCAGTCATACTCTGGGCCGGTAGCTTCCTTGACAAAGGTCAACCTTAAAGTGAGCCTGTCTATTGTCTTCTTGCATCTAAGATAACATACCCTTGGAATATCAGAGTTATCCCTTTTCCAGACCCCAGGGTATAAGTGCACCAGAGCACAAGACTACAGAACCCCTCACTGTTATCTTATTCCCCAAAGACCATTTCTGTGTGCTGTAAATGTTAATTAACTATTCTGTACCAGCCAATGTAAAGAAGTACGTGTCTCTTCCTTTTACTTTCTATCCAATCCCAGAGATTTCCCCATGTTGCTGCCTTCCACCCCCTTAATATACCACCATGGATTTCATGTAACCCTCCTTATACCTTCTCCTTTGATTCTAATACATAAAATAAGCGGCAAAACTGCCATTCTTCAGAGCAATTTCTCAACCTGTTGAGATTTTGCTTCTCGGCAATTGTCGTGAGTTTGGCTCAAACGAACTCATAAAAATTCTCTACAGGTTTAGATGTTTCTCACATAGATAAAAGAAAAGCAACAGGTTACGAGTTCACACCAGGAACTACCACTAAAGGCCTACTCCTAAGTCGGGAAAAGAGTTTTGATCAACACATAAGACCCAGATCCAGATGAAGCAAGTCAGTGAGCACTCCAGATGGACTCCTTCACTCGTCACGCCCTGACCGCTCTGAAGCCGCAGGCTTTGTGCTGGACAATCAAGTCACCAAAAAGAGCACGGTGAAGAACAGGCCTCCCACCCAGGGCTCTGAATTGGGGGTGGAGGACATGCAGATATCCAAATAATCCCCAAGCTCCTGCTCTAGGAAAGGCCAAAGTCTGTGAGGATACCACAAGTAACTGGACACCTGCAGGGCTGTGGGAAGGCTGAGAGGCCTAGAGTTTCCGGGAAGAGCAGACTGTGTCAAAGGGTATTCTAGGCAGACTGAACGTGGAAAATGCCCATAACAGCCCACAGTGTGCCGCTTTGTTCTTGCAGCTCTGACAGTCACTCGAGGAGGCACTCAGCTCCCACCCAAGAGCACCCTTCACTTTTCCCACATCACTTCCACAGCAGGAGGCTCCCTCCTCGGAGCATTCAAGTGCTGGACAAAGCTTCCATTAAGGCACTTACTGTGCAGCATCGCGATGATTTATTTACAAGCCTGCATCTCCCACAGGACTAAAAGCTTCTCAGGGGCACACCCTGAAGCTCCTCACCTATGTCACCTCTCCTCCAGGGTAAAGACAAAGGCTCAAAGAGCTTTCACATCCTGAGTTCCAGCTAAGTGTCAAGAACCCTACAGGGCTCCTATCAATCTTTATCCTTCTGGACTGCCTCCATCTTACAGAGGAGGAACCAAATCACTGAGGTAGTGGCATGGCATGGACCGGATCGCAGGCCTGCCTGACTCCAGAACCCACAATATTTTCATTATAACAGGCTCCAAGTTCTCTCCTTCCTACTCTAAGGCCCAGGGGAGGTAAGAGTGGAGAAGCGATGGCTGCCTCAAAGGGCTTCTCCTAGAGAAAACTGCCTCTGCAAAAGCGGCCCTCTATCCAGCCCCCCGCTGACTAGTGCAGCACCCTGCTAGGATCCTGGCCACCAGTTGCTCCTCTCAGCTCCTACTGACGCAGCCCAGCCATTGTAGATCTGACCCTAACAGTGAGGCCCCACAAAGATCTCGCCTGCCCCAAGGAGGGTGAGTCCTGATGCTCCTGCAGGAACTTCAGGAAAGGCCTCCTGAAAACAGAGATGCTGGTCTCCGACTGAGAGAACATTACAAATGGAACAAGGCTGCATAAACATCAACAGTGGAAGACTTCACTGATAAGCCCATCCATTAGACAGTGGGCATCAGACACATCCTATTCCAAACCTGGGCCTGTCCTGAAGATTTCCTCTCTTCATCTGCCTTCTCCAAATCCCACCTCCTCCCATCACTAGAGTACCCTCGTTACCAGCCATTTCGGATATTTGTAACTAAAGGAGATGGGATGATGTTACCATCTGATACTCTGGTGATTTTACAATACCATAAAATTGGGCAAAGCTAGACCCCAAGGCATCAATTATACTCTCAAAAAGTCAAGTTACCCAATTTCACCAATCATTCAAGAAAGAAAACATCATTGCCCACAAAATAGGGCAAAAAAGGGTAACCAACTAAAAGTGATTATTTTGACTAAAGGAACAAGGAGATTCTTTTTTTGAGTAGCTTTTATTAAAAATCACCAAAATCTGAAAACATACCAAATGCCAATCATCAGGTAAATGGATATACATTGTAGTGTACCCATACAATTAAATATTACTCAGCAATAAAAATGAACCACTGATACATCAAACAACACAGATGGAGCTCAAAAACATTATGCTGAGTAAAAGAAGGCAGACATAAGAGTTCATACTGAATGACTCCATTTCTATGAAGTTCTAAAAAAGACAAGCATCTGTAGTGACAGTAATTACATCAGTGGTGGCCCAGAGAACGAGATTCTTGAAACAAATTTCATATACCTGAACAGAGGACAAAGAAAGGGGCAGATTAATAAACCTTCATAGGAGGGGTAGAGGAGATTAGGCCTCCATAACCTTTATTTACATTCCTCAACAATTTCCCTCTCTGATTATCAGTAATGGCTATTCGAAGTGCTCTGAGAATTCACAGGAATCTATGGTTGACATGCAATGTCTGCCATGGCCACATGAGGGGCAACTGGCTATCAGGGTGTGTGAAAGATTTTACAAAGAAGACCTCAACTAACATTTTTGAACACTTACTGAAAGTCTATAAACTTTGACACACCTCTTTTAACCCTCATAACTCTGAAAATTAGGTTATCATCTGCATTTTACAGATAAGGAAACTTGAGATTCAAGGAGAGAATCTCATTATAGTCACAGTTGTAATGGTGAAGGGTGAATTTGAACTTCACTATATCTAGTTAACGCACCAATACATTAAGTGTGGGTCAAAAATAAAGACCAGAACTTGAAAAGTTCTGAGAATGAATACTGGCCTCAGTCCTAAGGAAAACCTTAGGACTCCAGTCATGTCCAAGGACACAGGACAGTCCCTAATGACTGGAGGGTGAGCACACACACGCCAAGGATGGCTGACAGTGTGCTTACTTGGGACCCATGCAGCATGCACTTGTCAGGCAAGAAAGACCACTAAAAATCACCAGCTTTGTGCTATAGTATTTTATCTACTGGAACAGCGCAAAGGGTACATTTGGGAGAGCGAGGTCATGCAGTTGTGGACACAGGAACATAAGTAAGCCACTTTCCTTCAATTCTATGTATTCGGTTCCCTGGTTACAACTAGTTCTTTTCAACTCCTTTCATGAACACCTTTAGGGGGTTTCAGTGTTCAGGTTTTTTATAATGGCTGCTTCTCTTCTCGCATGAAAAGACAGCTATTCATCCCAGCAGGCAGCAGTACTGGTTATAGGGCAAGCATTAGTCATCAGGAATTTTTCAAATAAACACTCCTGCTGGGGGTAGGTCTCTAAAACACAGAGTCAACTATGTTACCCTCTTGTTCCAAGAACTGCTGAGGGTTCCCTAACAGAGCCGAACCCCTCAGCAGAGGCTCTGGCCTGGCCCCAACTTTTGCCTGCAGCCTCATCTCCAACTGCAGACTACCTGATGTTCCTGAAACACACTGTGCACTTCTGGCCTCAGTAAATGCACTTGGGAGGAGGGGAAAGGGAAGTTTTGAGCAAGTCTCGTAACACAATCACACCTGAAACAGTGCAACTCTGTACTGCCTCTGGACACTTACCAGGTACTCCACACGGTCCTGGGAAGAACGCTGTGGGCCAGAGGGCAAATGGTCCACTGGAGCCTGGCACACGTGATGACCAAAAAGGGTCTGTCTGGGACTAGCAGCTGGCTCTGGACAGATGTCCAGTCCAAAGGATTCAGGCCTAGATTATTATAAAATGGGTTTTAATCCACGGAGGTCTCTAGGTTAGAGTATGTGTGTGTTGAGGTCATCTTTATAAGGAGAAAACACAGTTTGGTTCTATTACTGAGGGTCAATTCTGAATTGGGTGCTTTAGAAACACAAAGAAAAATAAGACACTCTCCTCTTACCCTCCAAGGGAGTCTTGTGCAGATGTTTCATTTTATTTTTAAATTATTTTTAAAATTATTTTTCAATTAAGTTTATTGGGGTAACATTGGTTAATACAATCATATAATTTTCAGATGTTTCATTTAAATCATAATTCTCCTCCAAGTTATGTAACAATTTTCTCCTCTTTGTTTTAGGTCTACTTTCCTTTATAGAATAAGCAATGAGGACCAGAGCCCTGGCCTGAACTGAAAAATTCACTAACCCCTACGTACATGGCCTCAAGAACCCCCAGGCAGGGCATGTGACCCAGGGCTGCTCAACTCCAACACACTCAAGGCCTAACTTTCCCACTACGGCTGCCTGCCACCTTCATCTAACTACAAGGAGGCTGTGGACAGATAGCTATCCTCTGAGAATTAAAATAATCAAACTAGAGGTGCCTTGACTAACTTAACAGCTATGCTTTCACATCTAAAGGAAGACACTGACCAGAGGGAAGGCCTGTACTGCAGCTGGTGTCCTGAAGAGACTCGTCCACGCAACTGAAGTCACTAGAGATGTGCTGTGCATGGGGAACAGTGCCTCACCATGGTCCCTCCCTTTCTCTAATTTTGCATTAATCAAGGAACCTTCTGATAATTAATTTGGACCCAGGTAATAATAATGACCCCTTTCTTGACTTACGAGATGAACATGAAACAAAATGACTGCTCTAAAGAACAAGCATGTTCCATGATCTATGGGGAAAGAGGTCATTTACACTTCCACAGACTCAGTCTTTTGCTATTTCCACTAAAAAGAAGAAAGATGTTTTCTGAGATAGTCACAGGTTCTTCCTAAATTATTAAGCTCAAAGTTCTTCCTGGGACATCCATGCAATGTTAAACCGAAATTCCCAGTAAGGAGACTTCTAGTAAGTATGTAGAACAGATTATATTTACTGTAAGAAATGACATTTGTTCAGACCTTTCACAATTCTTGACAG